AGGAGAGAAAATGTTCTTCTCAAAATTTTACTTAAAAACAACAGCTAACAATTTTCTTCTCAAACTAATGATTGTAGCCAATCTATTCAACGCGAGCCTATGACGCGGTCGCCTTCTCGCTATTGGGCCGCTGCGCACATCATTGTACGAAGTTGTTGAGATGTAATGTAATACTATTTTTTTTTTATAGAAAACTGTTTTTACAGTAACATGTAAAATTATTTAAATATTTTTAAAATTTATTTTATATTATTTTTTAAAAATATTTAAATAATTTTAGGAAATGGACCAACACTTTCCTTCTGTAAAACATTATTTTGTTTTTTTATTACTTTCTCTTTTTTTTGCTGTTTACTGTTGATTTTTCTCTTTTGCTCCTTTTTCTTTTCTCAATATTACCAAAACAAGGTCAGAAAATGAGTCGACAAGCATTTAACGGGGTATGGAACATTTTGTCTTGTCGTGTGGAAAGATAAAAGAGGATATAAAGAAAATGAGGGTTTTTGTGGTTTGAGTGTAAAGAGAGTGCCATATCAAAGATCAATAGATCAATAGATCCTCTGCATTTCTACTCATCCTTCCCAGGTTTCTGAACTTTTCCCGTCTTTGTTTCCTCCCTTTGTTCGCAAGAATTTTCTAGGGTTGTTGCTGTTTCGTTTCCTAGAAAATTTTGGCTAGCTAGTGATTTTCTTTTTGTTTTTCCTCCTTCCTATGCACCTGGAAAGATGAAACTGTGCTATGGGCTTATGGGCTGCTATAATTGAAATCTTCAAAATTTGATTTCTTTGTACGAATGATGAAACTTGTTTTCTTCCCTAGAAAATTTAGGCTATTTTCTTTCTGGGCTTTTCTTCTTTTTCTGAGCTTTTAAAACATTCCTCTGGGTTGCCATTATTAATCTCTTCAAAATTTGTAATTTTTCTTTACAAAGGTCTAAACACGCTGCGTAGCTCCTCAATATATATTTGCGGACTTAGCTCAACTTTGGTGAGTATATGTCATTTTTTCTATTAAAAAAATGATTCTCGTTTAAGGTTACTGATTCACGTGACTCTGCTGATGAAGTAGAAGATGGTGAGAGGGAAAATTGTGATGAAAAGGATTGAGAATGCAGCAAACAGACTAGTGACCTTCACCAAGCGTCGAAACGGGCTGCTTAAGAAGGCTTTTGAGCTATCTGTTCTCTGTGATGTCGATGTTGCAGTTATAGTCTTCTCACAAAAAGGAAGACTTTATGAGTTCTCAAGCTGCGAGTATGTTCTCTTTAATTATACTAACAAAGTTCTTCAATTGATTATTTCTTTTTTCTACATATGTCGATCATTTAACAGATTTTACAAGTTTGCTTTTTGTTACTCTTCCATAAATTGCTCATTATGTGGATCTGTACTTCCTCAGTACTATTTGGAAATCTTACTCTTTGCATTGATTTTTTCTTCCTATTTGTCTTTGAGTTTATTTCTTTTGATGAACTATCAAGAATGACATGATATGCTTTGCTACTGGAACAAATCCATTTAGGTGCATATTTAGCCTTTGTCAAACATGTCTATTAGGGTTTGCAAATACTTTGCTGCTACGATCTAGAACCTGTAATTCTAGTTTTTAGCCAGCTACCCATTCAATTTACATATTAATTATTAGATATTAAATCTTACACTAGTTTTGTCCTTTTCTTTATATATATACAGTGTATGATATCGCATGTGCTTAGGAATTGTATTAAACCCTCCAATCTTCACTATAAAAGTTTGCGACTGCATAAAATAGTTATGAAATCATTAATTTCTTGTAGTATATATCCTATAGAAGTGAGTAAATAAAATTTATTGGTGCTTGGCTAATTAAAATAAATGGTGCCTATTTGTGTTGGAAGGAATCTGTTAATGTATGCGTTTATGAGGCATAGAAATTTACCTTATTTTCTTAGAGGCATGATCTTTGGCTTATTAGGTTTTCATTTTTTATAGTCGATTTGTCATCGTCAAACATTTACTTTTCAAGTGTTAGGTAAATATCTATGTTTTTCTTTTTTATTATATATTTATGAATTGAAATACATTTACACACAACTCTTACATAAAAGCCATTTGTCTCTATATTACAAATGGTTGAGATTCATCTAGTTTCTATCTTATTTTTTAATTATAATTATTTTTTTTATCTAAAAAGTTTTCATAAATCTTAACCATTCACAATGGAGGGATAAATGGTAAGATTTTGTTTAAGTAATACGTGTAAGAGTTATGTCAAAGTGGATTATAACTCTATTTTTTTTATCTTTATTTGGTGTTTAATTCATATATGTGATCAAATTATGTGTTCAGGCCAGTAGTGAGAGGCATAGGAATAATATAATCACTAAATGATGTTGTAAGTATGAAGGAGAAAATTTTACTCAGAAAAAGCAAAAATCTAACGTATTAGATTTTGACTCTCTTCAAAGCATGTCATTACTTGAGGTGCATTTGTTAATTGGGTGGTAGAGTAAAAAACAATTAATATTACTTGTGTGTGTTTAAAATTAGCTAAAAGGAATCATTGGATACATTTGTAGGGGAAAAGAAATTAATCATCTTCCAATGCACTCCAAATGTATAAACTTGAGTATGTTTGGCCTATACTAAATTTTATACAGTAAAAGTACACCATCCACCCTACATTAATTGGTTCTTCACCAAATCCTTTGTCACTCTTCATAACCAATGATTTATTATTAGTAGTGACAAGACTAACATTTTTTTAAAGGACTATCCTAAGTTTTTATTACCTGTAATTTCCTCATATTTGGAAATACCATTTTGATTTTCATATTTTTGATAAATCTTTTCCTTGTACCATTTACATAAGACTATTTTGACTAATCATCTTTTGAATGGACTACATTTTATTTCTTATAGCAATTAATTACCTTTGAAAGTTAGAAATCTAATTAGGTTATATATATTTTGTAGTTTGTTTAATTAGCAATGAGAAACAATTATTAAAAGTGAGATTTGATTCAATTATATCTCCTTGGTTGCTATTTGGTTGCTATTTGGTAATGTAAATTTGATTTTCATGTCTTAAAGATACAAGCATTTAGCAATATATTGTTTGGCTATAATGGAATTGTCTCATTTTGAAATTCCTGTATTTATTTCATATAGGTTGGGAAGACATATGTGTATTATTAAGTATTCCAGTTTTACATGGATATGAGATTTATGAGATTGACGATGTACTTTTTGTCACTAATCTACCCTTTTTTTTTTTACAAAGTTGAAATTAAGCTTTAGCCCTCAAACTTTAGAGGTTGTTAATTTTAAGCCCTCAAAGTGGAAAAACATCATTGAAGCCCTCAAACTACATGAATGCATTAAGTTTGCCTATCATTAACCGTTGAATAAATAACATGACATACCTAACATTGTTCATTGATGCTAACTAGACCATATATATCATTAATGGCGGGCCTTTGGAGACATGGGGGCTAACTTGGCATTGATGACCTGTATAATGGTAAAAGAGGCAAATGAGCGATGACCAATTCAAAAGCAATTTGGAAAATTCCCAAATTATAGAATTAGAGTTTTACTTATAGGCCTCCGATGTGTAGCTTTGTTTTCATGTGATTTGAGAATTTTCCATACTGTCTTTGAATTAGTCATCGCTCATTTGCCTTTTTCACCATTATGCAAGCCATCAATGTAAACTTAGCCTCCATGTGTGTCCAAAGGTCCAACATTAATTCCATGTATTTAAAACGTGGTCCAATTAATGAGGGGCTAATTTGATGCGTTTATGTAGTTTGAGGACTTAAATTTTGTCTTTGTAGTCGTAGGACTTAAAATCAACAACCTCTTAACTTTAGGGGCTTAAACATAATTTTAGCCTTTTTACAAAGCCAAAGAATTGTACTCAAAATTGAAGATTTAAATTCAAATTCACACTCAGATTTGTTATTCACAAACCAATTATCATTTAAATTAAGATTTAATAGGATGGTAGAAGATGTTGAAGCTGCCTGTCAAATTTTTCAATGGTAGAGCAATGCCCCATTAATATGTCAAAGTCTCCTTTGTAAAACAAGTTAGAACAACGAAATAAAAAATAAAGAAAAAAACTAATTTTCCTTTTTTTTACATTCAAATTAAATGCCTCTAATCCTTTATTCTTGTGTTTTAGGTATGTAGTCTAAGTTGTAACTTGTTTGAGGTGAACATTCTATGAACCTGGATTCATGTTCATTCTTGGCATTCATCTTTTAGGCTTAGATGGTGTGTTGAGGCAAGTATGTAATGTTGTGTGTTCTCCTAACATCACTGGTGTTTTTTTCCACAACTTTGTGCTAAGGAAATTTGAAGGAAACGCCGGAATCCTTGCTGAATTAGCTAAGCTCTTAGTCTTAAATGTTAGTAGAGCTGAACCTAGTGTATGTGAATCTATATATACACAGCTTGTGACTGTAAGTTTAAGGGTGGAGTATCCGTTGTCCTCCTAGTAATGATATTTTTTATTCATCTAATAAAAAATATGTAATGTTGTGATTCTGCTCCTCAGTGACTAGGGATGGTCTGGAACTTATGTAGTTTTGAGTGCTTACACACTTGTTAATTAATGAAATTTCTTGCCATCCGCTGATAGGATATATCTGCTAACATGGAATGATGACAATTTCTTTTTTCGGTGAAATGCTTCAGCATGCAGAAGACCATTGAACGATACCATATGTATTCGAAAGATATTCCAACTTTCAAGCCTGAAATGGAACAACACATGCAGGTTAGACCTCCATCTTTTTTATTTCTGGGAAAAGGGCAGTTCAAAATTTATTTGTTTTTCATAGAGAACAGAAACAATTATATTTAAGAAAGCAAAATGTAAGGTTTGATGTTTGAGTGGGGGATCTTTACACAATCCAAGTTATGAAGGAGCATTGTGAACATTAAGATGTAAGCATGGGTTTTTTCTTTTCTTTTTTTTTTTTCTTTTTGGCACATCTGAATGGGCTATGCAAGAGGGGATAGGTCTCCCCTTTTTCTAAATCCCTCTCTACCCGACTTAAGATTTGAATTTAAGATCTCCAACTTGAAATCTTAAACTTTTAACCATTGAGTCACCTCCTTAGGGGTAGATGTAAGCACGGATGTTATTATGTATAATATAACTCCATTTGGAAAGGAAAGATACGTACTTAGTTTGCAATTGATTAGAATGAAAATTAACTTGGTTGACAATCTGCTTCTATTACTATATCCATGATTTAGGAAGTGAAAGAATTTTAAAGCTCAGACAAAGCTTATTCTAGTCTCCTATAAACAAGTTACCAAGGGGGCAGTCCAAAACATGGTTATAATACTAATCATTCCAAGTATGAATCAGATCCATGCAACATTTTGTTTTAACTAATTTTTGTGGTTTCATTTGATATTTATGATTGGATTTCTCTATATATAATCTACATTACATCTTCATTGCTCTTATCAAACAATTCGCTTCATGAGTTATAATAATTTAGTAGCCTACAGCTGCTAATAATACTTACGGTTTCCTCAAAAAAATTTCGAAGTGCAGCACTTGAGGATTGAAACAGAAAACATGTTTAAGAAGATCGAGTTCCTGGAAGTTTCTAAAAGGTTCAATATTGATTTAATGCTTCTCTCATGTTACTTCACCACATCCTGGTGAAAGGATTTTTAAAGTTTGAAATTTTGATGTCATACAGGAAGCTTTTGGGTCAAGGATTGGGCTCTTGTTCTGTCAAGGAACTTCAAGAGATTGGTAGCCAGCTAGAACAAAGCTTGAAAAACATCAGGGCAAGAAAGGTTTGCATCCTTTAGATTTGCATTTAGGCTAAAAGTAGTTACTTTAATGAATCAATACATGATTACAAGACTTCTGCTTTTGAAGGAAAATTAGCATTTGAGTTACCATCAAATGAGAATTTTAGCATATTTATAGAGTATTTGCATCGTCAATGGATCCTTTATAAACTTACAACAGCCACATTTCCTCAGACTTGTCCTCCATGATGTCGGATTGGAGTCCCTAATATACCTTTTAATAGATTCTTCATTGTGCCATCTGCTGACATGCAAGGGACTTCGGCTTGACGTTTCTCATATAATTGATCCGAATTTTTCCAGTGTACTAGATTCTTCATTGTGCCATACCTACATACAATTTCTAGATAATTCTTGAAAATTGTGTTTGCTTGCATGAAGACAAGTAGGCTAAACATGTTATGTCCTATATTATAGGCGCAATTATACAAGGAGCAAATACATCAACTAAAAGCAAAGGTAAGAATAACCCCCTTTATTGAATTAAACATACATTACTTCCTCAGTCTTCTTTCTAGCTCTTAGCTTCTCAAAAATGTCCCTTGTTTTTGTCCCAATAATACATTTTTAGTCCTAATTCAGGAGAGAATGTTGTTAGAAGAAAATGTGAAGTTATGTGAAAAGGTGAGCCTTTTATTTCTAAATCTTGGAGTTTATTTATTTATTATTTATTTTTTTCTTAAAAAATTTCCTATAGTTTTGTAGTCCAAATTGACACTAAAATGCAAAAGTTGGGTGTTGGATGATGGGCACCACCTTATAATCAATACCCCCTTGTCCAATCACTCATATATTGTAATTGGAAGCAATTTAGACTACAAAACACTATTTTGAATGAAATAAATTAACTAACCATCTTTTGTTCTAGATTAGTGTGATGGTGGGAAGTCATGGCAACAACTATGAACCCAACAAAGGAAAGTAGGAAACAATTGCACTCAAAATAGCCAATGCTCGAAGGTTGTGACTGAATTTTCATCAGATTGCCACAAAGCCATTAATCAACCGTTTGAGTTATTTTGTGGCTACAATAATTGTGTGACCTCAAAGAATGCTTTGTAGTTGGTGTATTTAGTTGATTAGTCCATTAGTTTTCTCCCTACCATTTTCTTAAATCGAATATGATCTAAATTATATGGTGTAAAAATACCATAAAAAATATAGTTAAGATGCTGTGGATCGTGATATTATTTATTATGTGAAAAAATGAAAGTACTTTTGTTTTTATTTTTAAAAGAAGTTATTTTAGTATTTTTCATTTTGAATTTATTGAAATGATTTAATTTTATATTATATATTTCTTAATTTTTTAAAAATTCTAGTATTTAATATTTTTAATTTGACTTTTACAATTTATTGCTTGAAATAAAAATATCAATTTTCATTTTCTCATTCTCATTAATTACTGATTAAAATTGAAAAAATTATTACATCTAGTAAAAAGAATATTTGTGTGGGTTACTGGTCAAGACGTTACCAAAAGAAGAAAAGAAATTAGAGGTTGTCGATCCCAAAATCAGCATCCCAGTGGCCTGCACATTGAGGGCCCAACTGCATGATGAGAGACAGACACCTAAGGCCAATCCATCTATTCCTATAAATAGCAAAATCCAGCCCCAACCTACCACTCCCAATAAAAGCAAAATTTTAAAATTATACTGAGAAGCCCTTTCTTAATATCATATTTTTCTAAATCTTTTATCCAACAATCAAATTTCCTCAGCATCTTTCATTTTTAGTTAAAACATTAATTTGTTCCCTTAACTTTAAAAAATACTAAAATTGTCTTTAAATTTTAATTTTTATACTAAAATCGTCCTCAAACTTTAAAGATAATACTAATTTAGTCATTAAATTTTGAAGACAAGTACTAACTTAGTTTTTAAATTTTGATTATAGATAACAATTGTCCCTTAACTTAAAAAAATATCAAAATTGTCCTTAAATTTTAATTTTTATACTAAAATAGTCCTCAAACTTTAAAGATAATACTAATTTAATCATTAAATTTTGAAGACAAGTACTAACTTAGTTTTTAAATTTTGATTATAAATACCAATTTAGTCGCTTAATTTTGATTATGTATTAGTCTAATTTGTAAATCGAAATATGTTATGGTAGTAAAATATGACTATTTAATTTTACATTTCATTAGCATTTTAAAAAAAACTTAATTTTATAGCAAAAAAGAGTTATGTGATACTTTTGTTAATGAAAGGACTTTTTTGGTATTAAAAATTAAAGTTTAAGGTTAATTTTAGTATTTTTTTAAAGATAAGGGATAATTTTAAGATAAATCTAAAAGTTGAGGAACCAAATTAGGTGGATAAATTTCCTGAGTAATTTTACCAAAATGAAAAACAGAGAAGTCATTGTCCCGCCTCATTCCCAATTAAAGTTCTCTTTCCATTTAGCTTTAGTTAAATTAATTTTTAATTTAAATATTTAAAATCAATTGTCTACTTTTCATTTAAAAAATATCATTGACTATGTTTATTCACATTGTACTCTTATTTAAAAAAAATAAACATATATTATGATAACAACACTTACTTAAATATTGGCTAATTAGGAATAAATATAAAATTTATTAATTAATTATTACATCCTTATGTTGTTGGAAAAAAAAAAAATTAGACCAACTAAACTTAAATGAGAATTTTGTTCTAATTTTTAGATAAATCTATTGTTAATAGAGATCATTAATATAATAATCATGAGTTGTATAACATACTAGTTATAGGTTGACACATCTATCATAAGTGTGATATTTTCTAGGATACTAATAGATGTTAAGTACTTGATATGCAAGAGGGTTTGAATTCCAATATTGACCTTAAGTTGAGTTTTTAAATTGTATAATGATTGATACACAATCTGGTTCAATACACTTAATAACACACTAGTTCAATCATTAAAGAATTAATATTTTTAAATTTGAATTCAAGACAAGAAAATTTTCAAAAATAAATTTTATTAACTGAACAAGTGTGTATTGTTAGGTGTATTAAACTAGAAACTGTACCAATAATTTTCCTTTTAAATTAGTGTGCATTAGCTCAACTATACAAAGGTAACATTGATAATTACATACCAATTCATGTAGTTATAAATAAATGAGAAAAAGTGTTGTTAAAAAAATTAAATGGGAAAATGCAATATCTTAGTAACACACACTCGAAAGTTGAGTGTTGTTATGACCATGGATTGTTTTGTTAAGATCACCAATATTTGATTGATATTTTTTTTCTTAAATAATTAGTTATAATGTTTGAAAATATTGGTTTATAAATCGATTTTAATTTATTAAGTAATAAATATCAATTACTAACTATTTTTAACAATTAAATCAAATAAAATCAGTATTTTTAATAGAGTTTGGTGGCCTTAACAAAATAATTGGTAGTCATAACCACACCCTCAAAAGTTTTACGAGTTCTTACTTTTGCAATATGGGCTATGATATATTGCAAAATTAAAATCATTAGATTTGAGGAGCCTTCCCATCTAATAGTTAGTATATAGTCTTGGTTGCACAAAACTTCTTTAAAGTTTTATGGACTTGTTATATCATTTATCATTTATACACATCCTCCTTATTATAGTGCCTTATATCATTTTTTTTTAATACATTAGAAGTTAGTTAGTTGGCATTATAAGTGTTTAAAACTCTACTATTGACCTTAAATTAGGATTTTTAATTTAATGGGTGCCTACTTTTTTCTTTTACATAATAGAAATTTCATTGATAGACAGTAATTGGTACACATTTTGGTTTAACACACTGCACAATATACTTATTAAAAAATCACTATTTCTTTTTTTGAAATTAAAAACAAATAAATTTAAAGATACAATCATACACATAAAATGTAGGAATCGACTACATTAACTGTATTTATATTATATTTTTAATGGTTGAACCAAAAGTGTGTGAAAAAATGTGTTAAATCAAGTGTGTATAGATCATTTTCCTTCATTAATATAATTGACAATAAATTACAAGACTAACAATAGGAGAAAATAGAGCACGAGAGTTTATCACCAATCCTACTCGGCACTTAACTAGGATTTCTTCTTATTCTATAATTAGTCTAGTAACACCATAAGTAGTTTAGGGAAAACTCCCAAAAACCCCCAACTACCAGATGCTCAAAAACATATCTAAAAAACTTCCAACCGGAGTGTTCTTAAAAAAGGAAAAATAAATTTGAATAAAATTAACCCCTAATTTCTCTCTTCCCTTAGTAATATCAATTGTCATAAGAGGAAATGGAATCCAATTTTCATTCAAATTAAGCAACCCCGGATTTATAATTCTATCAATTCCAAAAGATTTTTGGACAAT